CAGGAGGGCCCAGGCTGCCTCTAGAGGTTCATCTGTGTTGGACTGAGCCAGGAACTCTGCTATGGCTTTCACACCTGCAAGATTGTAAACAAAATTGAGGTCAACGCTGTAAGCACCATGTCAGTGATCAAGTTATCCAGATGATATTTAATAGACAATGTTTCGTGGATATTGATTTTTGTTGTTGTTGTAGATGTCACATTCAGTAAACTTCCTAGAGAACTGTTAACCATTGCTTTGGTTAGTTACAAACCTCCTAATGCAAAGTAAATGCAGGAATTCACTAGTACTACTGTTTTTATTCTGTTCTGTGATTTAGCATAATAAACTACAACTGCATTTTGTTGTGATAACCTGCGTTGCAAAATAAAATACTTGACAAAGAATTGTGTTTTAAATAGCGTATCTGCATGGCTGGTGTGAAAAAGAGCTTACAAATAAAGCTATATCTAATGCACTGATTATAGTGCAGTGTAGAAAGAAGTGTGTTTGTATTCAAGTGATTCTTTATGAAAAGTACCATGGCTTTCACAGATAACCTCTTTGTATTTGCGACCAGCGTCTGACATAGTGAGCAGAAGGCGGAGGGCCTCGAGCTTCTGCTCCTCTTTGCTCTGAGAGTGGCTCAAGATGTCCAGAAGAGTGAGGACTCCTCCATCATCCAGAAACTCCATCAGGTACTGATCACTGAGGGAAAGTGGATCAAATTAATACCTCAGACTGAGTCACAGAAACAGTAGTTTGTAGATATTGATACAGAGTTTCATATTCACTCACTGGTTTGATGCAGAGAGGAAAATCCCAATTGCTTTAAGCTGCAGTCCCAAGAATGTCCCAAACATGTATCTGAGTATTGAGTGAAGGACTATGTCTCCGTTTAGTAAATAATGTATCCTTAACAGAAACCAGCATGATCCCTATAGAAACCCTATATATCATTTGAATGACTTATGCATTATTTGATTTAATTAAGCCACAATATAGTTAAATGTGTGCTTTTACTGTATGCAGTAAAGACATAAGAAAAAGCTACAGACAAAAAACATTTGTGTATTAGGCAATTATTTTCATTATTGATTAATATGCAGATTATTATCTTGATTCATTGATTAATAGTTTGGCCTGAATTTCGTACATTTCTTACAACATTTTTATAAAATTGTGAAAAATGTCTCAGTTTCTTAAAGTCCAAGGTGATGTCTCTGAAATGTTTTGTTATATCAGTCCAGGACCAAAAAGATATTCAATTTATCATGATTTAAAAAAGCAGGAAATCTCCATATTTGAGAAGCTGAAAACACAAGTTTTCCATGAAATTACTAATAGATCACAAACTAAATAGTTTGTGATCATTTGTCTGTCTGTAAGATGAATAATTGATGCAGCTCAGCATTAAACAAAAACATTATTTAGCCTTGACTGCACATACAGCTAACAGCATCAGTGCATCAAACATATAGCCTTGAATAAATCAAAGTTTATTTAGCCCAAAACACAAATGTGTCATCAGGGGACGTTACAGTTTGTACACAAGATTGATTGATTGACAAATGGTAAACAATATGTTTGATATAGTTTGTGTTGGCTCATGCAGGCGTCCACATGCAGCCTGAACATATAATAAATACACAGAGAGAGGATACGTGAGTCTGGTCCAGGTGGTGATCCGGGCCAGGAAGAGGCTGGAGACCTGAGCGAGCTGCAGCTCCACATCACAGAGCCTCCTCCCGGGGTTCCGGCTCAGGAAGGCGGTCAACATGCGGCCGCGGACCCTGCTGTCACCTCGGTCCCACTCCCGGAGAAAAGTGAGCACTTTACCGATGTTCGCCTCTTCCTCCTCCGGTGTTGACATCCTGCCTTCACTCCTGTTCGTTTTGGCGGAATAAAGTTTTTTCTAAGATTATTTTATTTATAATAATCAGAACCAGGCATAACCAGCTTTCTTATAAAAGCAAAAGATAAACTGAATCATGGTAAAATTGTATTTGTTTGCGTTTTCGATATGCCTTTTTTCCTCCACTTAGCTACTGCGTTTATAGTTAGTTGACGGTTGCATGGCGACGCCCCGCCCCCACACAATCTGTGGTAACCATGGATGTATAAACTGTGGTAACTCAATCACCATACAGTAGTCCTACTTAAGTTCGATTTTGACATAGGCCTAATAGTACTTTACTTGAGTATTTTTATTTTAAGCTTATGCTTGCTATACTTCTTCTCCACAACATTTTAGAGGAAAATATCAATTGGTGTAAAGTAACTAAGTAGCCTACATTCACTCAAGTATTGTATTTAACCTTTATATATACAGTCTATGTATTTAACATTTCTTTTTTTAAGACACATTGTACTTTACTTGAGTTCCATTGAATGCAACTTTATATTTCTTCTCCACTACATGTCAGAGGCAAATGTCCAGTGGTGGAAACTAACTAAGAAGCCTACATTTACTCAAGTATTGTATTTAAGTACTATTGTTGACATAATAGTAGGCTACTTCACTTGAGTATTTTAATTGTATACGTATATGCTTCCTATACTTGTACTCTCTACTACATTTTCAGAGGCAAATATCCAGTGGTGGAACGTAGCCTACATTTACTCAAGTATTATACTTAAGTACTTTTTTTTGACATATTTGTACTCATTCTGAAATGGGACAATACAAACATGTGTACTTTTACTTTTGTTACTTAAAATACATTTAGCTGATAATACTTCTCTACTTTTACTTAAGTAAGGTTTTAAATTAAGGACTATCACTTGTAACAGAGTATTTTACACTGTAGTATTTCTACTTTAACTTAAGTACTTCCTCCACCACTGGTTGTGTAGAATGGATCACAGTAGGTATATACACAGTATTATATTATTATGGTTATTATTATGATTATCCTGTTTTTGGTTGTGTCAGGGGATTTTAGTGTTGTGTCATGGATCTGAAACCTTAAACACTCCAGGCATTAGGAAATAGCAAAGTAGAACCACAGACACACTGTTTATTGAAGTAAATATTATTTTGTTGTACAACAGTATAACAGAGACAGAATACTTGCGTCAAGTCCGCCAAGAGGATGTATCTAAAGAATGAGAGAATCTTATACTCTATTTCGGCTTATGTAGCACTGCACATTTGAACCATCAATAACCACATGTCGCTCTTTAACATTATTCAGCAGAAAACACACTGCTTGCAGATCGATAGACAATCATGGTACACAGGATTACCAACTGACGCAAGAAACAAGGCTTCCAATGATGGATGATTATTTTGTCAGTTTAAAGATTACTTCTACAGTAGTTTAGATACTAGAAATACTGAGCGGATTAATAGTACAGTACGGCATTATACCATATTATCAAGTATAACGTATACTCAAGTAAAGTGTACGTTAAACAAGTACTAATGTACAATACTTGAGTAAACAATTACTTTCCACCACTGCTATTTTGATATAATTGTACTTTACTTGAGTATTTCAAACGTTTTTATTAAAGGTATTTATATTCTTACAGTGTAGAAATAAAATGTGGATTTCAAAAACATTTCTTGCAAACACCCCTTTAGTGGGAGGGGTTATTCCTGGAAAGTAACTACAGACAATTTATAAAATTCAGTTTTACTATTCTTTCTTCAATCAGCAGACTTTCTTCAATTCATTTTGAGTTCTGGTAAGTTAATGCCTACTTTTACCAGAATATACTTATTGCATCCACATTTTTTGGGAGTATACAGACACATAGGATCAAATGAAGGACAATTTGTCATTGCTACGTATGCAACATTTCTGTCATGACATAGATATATGTTTAGCAAAATTATATTTGCATGTTGTGTATATTAAGCCATCATATAACGGTTTTCCTTTTAGAACCAACACTGTTACAAAAACGTTGTTACTATACTTATTGTTCTCTAGTGATATATCTGGCTTCATAATACTTTTTAAAATCCTAAAACGGGCTGTAAAATATAATTGAAAATCTTATCTCTGGGTGTAAAGAGACTTTTGTGAACGAAAAATGTCCTGAAAAATGTTTTGAATACAGAATTTAGTAATGTTCCTTCCTTATATCTTTCCAGAATGCACTAAAGATGAAAGAAAATACTTTGCTATTATTCTGCTTTCTTTCCCTGAGCGTAAGCTTGTCTGCTGGTGAGTAAACTGCTCTTAACTTCTGAAGATATGGTGCTGTTTATGTTCAAGCAAAGTTTGCAAAGTTAGATACATTTACCCCAGATAACTATCTTATCTTCTAGAAAACTAAATGTTTGTTTCAGTTGCGTCACTACGCAGGTCAAGTGACATAACCCTACAGAAAAAAAGAGGCTGCTTCAAGGCAAAACCGGGGGACGTAACGGTACAGGGAAACATATCAGATTTGACTGGATTACACATTGTACATGTACATGTTCCAGTCAGTATAGTCAGTTCAGCAGATCTTTAAAAGAGAATACAAAAACTAAAAAGTGTTGCTTGCATAAGTATACAACCCCTATGCATTAGTATGTGTAGAGCCACCATTTGCTGTCTTGTTGGGAAAGTATCTTCCAGCTTGGCGACTGTTAGGAGGGATTTCTGCTCGTGTTTCTTTGCAGATTTGCTCCAGGTTGTTCAGGTTGGTTGGATGATGTTTGTGGACGGCAGCTTTCAAACTGTGCCCCAGATTCTCGATGAGATTTAGATCTGGACTTTGACTGGTGCACTATACTTTGAGGACAGTAACCTTTTTGTTATTTACCCACCGTCCCATCTGTTTGGCTTTGTGCTTTTTTCTACATCTCAAATAAAGGCACTCTCTGGCCCACAATATATTAAAAGATAAAAAAAAGAAATGAAAGCTAAACCAACACTGTTGATCCATAAATCACATAACTTCTACATGACACATTGAGATTATTTAAGGATTGAGAGCAAAGCAAACCCTCAGCTCATAGAATTAAATTAAGCAGACATTGCTGAATATATATATTTTTTTCATTTTATGGAGTAACATTGGCCTCAGATGACTTAACGTTATCATTTTTTCTCTTTAGGTCAAGAGGAAGGATCTATCAGGCTGGTTGGTGGTCAAGATAACGCTGACGGCCGTGTGGAGATCTTTCTAAAGGGAATTTGGGGGACTGTGTGTAATAGCTACTGGGACATAAATGACGCTCATGTCGTGTGTCGCCAGCTCCATTTCCCTGGCGCAATAGAAGCTCTAACTACACCTCATTTTGGCTCCGGTAACCTTTGACACTTTGAAACCCAAATATCCTCTAACACAAATAATGTCAACATGGAAATCATGGTACATGTCATTTTGAACAATACATTTACTCAAGTTCTGTAATTAAGTACAATCTCTTTAGGTTCCTTTCCTTGAGTAATTATATTCAATCAATTCTTACTACTCGACTACATTTCAGACAGAAATATTATACTTTTTACTCCACTACATTTATCTGCCTGCTTGAGTTACTTAATACTTTACAAATAAACATGTTTGCACTGAAAACATATGAAGAAGTTGACTACAAGAGCAACTCATTTAAGGCATGTTTCATATCAAAACGATTTCATGTTTCTCACTCCCTCAAAAGTGAAGATTTGCTGGTTTTCCTGATAATGAATTAATTATTTAAAAATTGTAATATATTTATTTGAGCAACTGTCTGTATGGCAAAACATTTTGAAAATGTCCCTTTGGGCGCTGGATCAATGAATCGGCCAATTAATGGAGAAATAGTAACAGTCGAAGTACATATTTCTGAATTGAGTTATTTGCTCTTAATACTTTAATACTTTGCTTTTAATATTGTACGTTTCCCAAATTATACTGCCATTCTTAACTTAGTAACATTTTCAATGCAGGACTGTAACATGTAACAGAGTACTTTCACCGTGTTTTAATACTTCGACTTAAGGAAAGGATCTGGACTTCAATGTTTAATCTGTTTTTATTGCTTTTGTGTTAGGGGAAGGTACAGTCTTGTTGAACAATGTACTCTGTGATGGATCAGAGACGAGCCTGCTTCAATGTAAATCTGTTGATGGCTTCTCTCACTGTGGTCCCTCCAGACATGCTGGTGTTCGGTGCCAAAAAGGTAAGGCAACAAATGTTTATGCAAGACTATAAAAAAAGTGACATGTCACTTTCTCTCACTCACTAACCCATATATGTATCTATGAAAACCAGAACAGATCAACAGCAATCTGAGCCCTGAATATGATTTGGACCACAGCACGAGCCTCTCCCATCAGCTGGGGCAGCTGTTTGACAGCAGACGTGACTGTGACGTGAACATCCCAGTGCTGGTGCACAACAACACCTCTGAGACAATCTGTGCTCACAGCCTCATCCTCTCTCTGAACTCACAGCAGGACTTCAGACACCTCAGCATTGATACCACTTCTAACTGCAGTGAGCACGCCAAAACCTTTATCAGGTAAACCAAAACGTGTGACTTTAAACTTCATCCTGACGTGGTCAAGGATTCAAAGGCTTTATTGTCCTTTGCACTATACACTTTGTAGTTTTTGGGCAAAGAACATCTTAACCTTCCTGTCGTGTTCGGGTCAAATCTGACCGATTTACTACTTTCATTAATCATAAATATTGTGTTTTACCATCAAGACCTTATGATATCCCGAGTGTTTTAGTCAACTTTGTAATACCTTTGGTGTTCCTGGTCGTGGGGTAGCCCTAGATGATGTAAATTCACTGCAGTTATTTATGTTAACCAGTAGTCTGAGACATTTTTCAAAGCTTAAAAGGTTGTTTGATAAAGTTTAGTGATGATTTATGTATTTCATTTTATGTGGGGACACCAAAGTAAAAAGGGGGGTTGGGTACTTTAATGTCTTAAGTATATATACGATATACTTAAGACATTAAAATAAATAAATTAGTGCAGGTGACATATTGTTGCAAGTAAAATGCAGGAATAAGTAAACTGTCAAATCGAATGACTTAAGAGACTTGCTTTGATTATTTGTTGTCTCTTGCGTTTCATATGCACTAAGTAAGAAACACCTGAACCTTGCTAATGCAAATGTTTCACATTGCAGATTTTTCTACACAAGAAAGATCAAATTTACACGATCCACGGCCCCTTGCATTCTCAGGATGGCACAAGACTGGGGTCTGACAGAAGTACAGAATGAGGTAGCAAATATTTCCAGACTTTTTCTCACAGAGGATCCCACCTTCCAGAGTCAAAACTCTTTCTATGAGTATGCAGTTCATATAGGTGATGAGGCACTACAGGAAGCTTGCATTCGCTACCTGGCGTGGAACTGTGAGGCTCTGATCCAATCCCCAGCCTGGACAAATCTTTCATTTGCTCTGGTCAAAGCTCTTCTGTCTCGCTCAGACCTTGTGGTGCCTAATGAAAACGTCATCCTGAATGGAGTGGAGAGATGGGCGGCAGCCAAAGGTAACCCTACCATCCCTGAGGTCCTTCTGAAGCTCATCCGTTTCCCCCTGATACAAGCTGAGGATTTATACAAACTTAATGGGTCCCAGTACGATGCCATGAAGCAGAAGGGGTATTATTTCAATACACTGTCCTTAAAAACATTGCTCCCTTACTTGAAGAAAGACAAAGAATTCTACACTCCCAGGATTTACACCGACAATCCGTGGAGCACTACCTTTAACCACCACAAAGTCAACATTTACAAGGACTTTGGTGTCTTCAATCGTCATGGCGTGTCACTCAATAGCCTCACAATAAAGATCCGATCACCTATTCATAACAGTCACTTATTCGCTACTAACATCATGCTCTGGAAAACAAGGGTTTATATCAGTCATGCAGAATGCTCGAGGGATGGGGTCACTTGCCCCACTTTGCCGGCTGTTAGTGTGAAGATTGAAGAGAACCGAAATGTACCCCGAAGTTTGCAGGGAAAGTTTCAGTACAGCAATAAGCTTATTGTTCTGTGTGAAGGGACGTATGTGATCCAGGTTCTTGAATTTCCTGACGGTGATGGGGAGAACTTTGTATCTGTCCCAAGAAGCGCTGACCAAGTCTATCCATGCCGCTCAGACCAGTTCTCCTACCAGGTGGTGATCCGTCCTTACTACGTCACAGATTAGTTTGGGTTTCCTATGGGAACTTTGGCAAAGAGGAAATGAACAAAGGATTTGCAAACAGCATATTTTCTGTAATTCATGACTCTTGTGAGTATAATTATAACTATTAACAGTGTAACATTGAGTGCATTTAATTAAACGTGACCAAGCTTTCCATGTACATGCCTTGTGACATGAATCATATCATAAAATACTGATACAATCTGTTCAACATTTGCCTTTGATTTATTGAATAACATTTTTGTGAATGTCTCAAGTTGGGGAAGTCAGCAATAGGATACATACTGTACCTGCTATGTAAAAGGCTTTTAGTGTGAAGGAAGGTGTGTGTTTCCTAGTAATATTTAGAGTTTGTGATAGTTGGAGTCTCAAAAGAGCCTTTGTTCTAGCACACAACAGGGCGGGACAAGTCTGTTCTTGCTTAATAAACTGGAGTTAATTATTAAGTACAATTTAGGTTATTTACGTCACTAGAGAAAGGGTGGAGGAGGATAGAGAGGTCACTTAATGTACTGTTCATCAAACTTCATGAGGAAAGATATAAACGTGTAATGTAACATTTTATTAAAATACTTTATACTTTTTTAACCATTTTAAACAATGTAAAAGCTCATAATGTGTAGTTTTATGATAACCCTTTTATACAAGCTTGTGTCATTAAAAATAAATTGGGCATGTATTCTGAATTATCTGAATTTGTGTGTGAGCCCTTAAATGCTGTTTTGGGTTTTCCCTTTGCTGTAGTTGACATAGGTTTGTGTGGACTCCATTGGACTCCTTTTTTTACTTCTGTAACATAATGACATCAACATGTTACAAACGCGCTTCTATTGGCTAGCGCTACATCACATTGTACGTGATAGGCTAATGAGCGGGACATCTCTAAGCGGTGGACCAATCACAAGACAGCTAACCAATCAGAGCAGACTGGGCTCTGGTTTCAGACAGAGGGTGAAAAGAGGTACTGCAGCACAGGCAGCATGACAAAAATAAACATTGCTGAACATTAAAGCTAGTAAACATGTCACAGTAGGAGGCACAACATACAAATATGAACCTGAAAATGAGCACAAACGGGCCCCTTTAAGAATACAGTATCATATGGCCTCATCTACAGTATGTTTCAGGTGATGATTTTTTGCAGCAGATGATTTTACATATTTTTACATTGGTTTTCTTACGTGATGTGTAGCAATACTGAATTAGCACTGAATGACCCGAGGAAACTGTATAAGGTGTGCAACAGTGTTAGAACCGCAGAGATGATTCTTAGCAAAGAGCCACAGGAACGATGCAAAAACAGTGTCGCCTCTACAGCGTCAAAGTAAGACACATAAACAACAATCCAGATCTAACACAATGTTGACGTTAAATACCTACATAATAAACAATGCAGGCATCAATGAAGGCATTGTGTGACAGCATGCATTTCTAGGAATTATCGTTATCTTGCTGTCAGTTCATGTAGAGGTTATACATGCCTTGCAGAAGACTAAGTTAATAATGCCACACACGTTAGAAATAGCTAAAATACCAGGAGATACTTTAGCAGGTTAGACACAGAAAAACACACTTACTGGAAGATGTCTCCATCTTCTGGCAGGTAGTCCTTAATGTTTAAAGTACTAATAATTATATATTTTTGTGGATTCACCCTTTAAAGGAAGCTGTCTGTCACATTATGCAAACATAAATATGGGTGAATATCCATTTACATAGATGCAAATGGCATAACAGTAATCCCTTAATTTGTTTCGAAATACAGATGTACAGTGAAGGCTTTTATCACCCATATAGCTGAGAATAGACAGTCTCTTAATAGATGTGTCGGTAATTCAAAGCTGCAGTCTGCCAATCTCTTGTGTAGAAGTACATCAAAGTGTATACAGAATTTCAGTATACTTTATGTTTTACTTGTACTTAAGTAAAAGTACAAAAGTATTAGCATCAAAATATACTTTCGTTAAAAAAAGTACTCGTTAAGGGTAATGGCCCATTTCAGAATTATATAATTAACTTCGATTCCATTCATAATACAATTATTAGATTATGATTATTGATGTATTAATACGTCTATCACAGCTAGAGGAGGTGAAGCTAATTATAATTAATACTGCTCCTGGATCATCTTAAAGTGGACCTATCATGCTATATTTAAATGATATATTGTAGGGCCATACCTATATAAGGTATATTTATACGTTTCTGTTTTCAAAATACCAAACAGATCATGCATTTTAGCCATGCCTCATTTCGCTCTATGTGCTGTTTGCTGTCTACGGGGCTGATTCTGCTGACCACGCCCCCCTGCAGGAGAGGGGAGACGTGCTCTGATCAGCTGCTGGGCTGTCAGAAGAGGGGGAGAAAAAGAGATCTCCGTCCTCCGTGTTTTATTATATAGAGTCGTTATTCATTTGTTTTAAAGCTCAATAAATAACAAAGAAGACATTTGACCGGCACTTTTCTAATTTTGTCCGGAAGATTTAAACTTTAACGGACATCTTGACCGGCGAAACAAACTGAAACTGAAACTCTGCCGCACGGTCCCCTCGTTCCTTGGAAGAGGCGGAGAGGTGGGTGTTTGTCATCTGCTGGTGGACTAACCGGAGAGAATTACAGTGCTTGCCTCGACGGGGAGGGATTGCATTGAATTAAAGCAGCGGGAGCAAACGCTTGCCTCGGGGAGGGAGAAAAAAAGCCACAGCGGAGAATAAACAGAAGGGTAACCATGGTAACTATGGGTGGGAAGTCTTCTTCGCTGCTTTTGTGGCAGACTACAGCGCCACTTACAGGCCTGGCATATGTACTACAGCGTCTCCAGCGCTTTCGAGCGGCAATGGCCGGCCGTGGCCCAACCCCACATTCCCCTGATAGGTGGAGAGTTGGCCCAATAGCCGTAGCGCCACCGTCCTGACGTCAGGACAGTGTTCAAATCTGGATCAGTTTTTATCAGATCCGTTGCAGCCCCTTTTTTAGAGATTTGGGTATGGAGGAAAATAGAGAGGGTTGTGTTTTCTGACACTTGGTGAGTTCCCTGGAACACCGGGGACACATATTCATGTATAAAAGACGTACAAATGTGCATTTTGCATGATAGGTCCCCTTTAAATTATGTCAATGTGTATAAATTGATTAACATTTTAATAATCTGACAAGTCACTATTAATTAAAGATGACAGATAAATGTCTAGAAGTAAAAGGTATGGGCTTCCAAAATGTAGTGGAGCAGAAGTACAGTACAAAGTAGCATACAAAGGAAATCAAGCAGTAGTAGTACCACAAAATTGTACTTAAGTACAGTAGTTAAGTAAATGTACTTTATTACATTACAGTACACCACTGGTGTGCAGAGGTGGGAGAAGTACTCTTGTACTTAAGTAAAAGTAGAAATACCACAGTGTAGGAATACTCTGTTAAAAGTAAAAGTCCTAAATGGAAATATAACTTAAGTAAAAGTACAAAAGTATTAGCATCAAAATATACCTGAAGTACCTAAAGTAAAAGGACTCATAATGCAGACTGGTCCATTTCTATTCTATTCTATTATATGTTTTAATTATAATTATTAATGCATTAAAGTGTTATCAAAGCTGGTAAAGGTGCAGCTAGTTTTAATGACTTTGTATACTGCAGGGTAGCTTGTGAATTTACTCCAGGTATAACTAAATACTGATTAAAGTGTTGATTATATTTCACATTATTATTACAAATCTGCAAAGTAACTAAAGGTATAAAATAAATGTAGTGGAGTAAAAGTACACTATTTTCTGTAGCAGAAAATGAAAATACTCAAGTAAAGCACAAGTCTCGCAAAATTGCACTTAAGTCATTTGAGTAAATGTACTTAGTTACTTTACACCACAAAATGCCTCCCAGACGCTGCTGGAGGTTTGCTGCCCTCCGGAGGCTGCTCCCCGGTAAATGCGTCTCTTTCTCGGAGATAAAGAAGGCTCATCTCGGTGTAGTGAAGAAAACCACAGTACCACACAGTAAAGTACCGATGTGGTAAAATAACACCACACACACCACCATCCTCCTCAGCCAAAGTGTTGCGTTTCTTGTATATAAATACACTATAATCTCCAGGATGTACTTTTAATCTGCCCTAAATGCCAAATGGCTCACGAGCACCGAGCGACACTTCATCTGTCCGATCCTCGCTGCTATTGTTCTGCATTGTAATCCCATTAAGCCATTTCCCACCACCAAAACCGACTGTTTTTACATTATTAATAAGCGTGTAGTGTTTTTAAGTCTTATGAATGTGTGAATAATGGCAGACGGACCGGCATGGCACGACAGGAGAGTGACAAGGACGGGGAGAGGGAGAAAGAAAGGGGAGGGGAACTGACATTAAAGCAACACAACAAGGAAACTACACTGCAGAGCCTCAGACGCCTTCATTTTATGTTTTTGAATAATAGCCGGAGCTAGTGTGGCGAAGTGTAGCCTATATCTGTGAAATCTGCCCGGAGATCAAACCCTTTGCAAGTGCCCGGAAAAGAAGCAGCGTTTCCCCGAGTTGGATTAAAAGACGCTCTCCGACGCTTTCTGAGATATGGGTGAGAATAATGAATGTAATTGTAATTCTGAGGGAAATTAAAAGAGGCCTCTTCTTGCGGAGAGAGAGAGAAAGATACATGCCCTAATGGGAGGTGGAAACAAAAGGCCAACCGCATAGTTTAGCCGTAATTAATAAAAAATGCCAATTTGGATTATCTTTAGCCTATTGTGGCCCCTTTAGACCCTTTCACCATGATAGCTATCATTTTAGCATGCTGCAATTATGAATGATGCTGGCTGCCATTACAGTGGAGCTTTCATTATAAAGTCATTATAATTCAAAAATAATGGCCATTTGCATTGGCTTTGTTCCTGATGTAACTTTGTTACAGTTTACAGATGTTTAGCTGGTGGTCAGGTGTTTGGCTATATGCAAAACTGAGTGAAATGACCTTTCACAAGAGGCTGTTTGATGAAAAGACAATAGCATTTTTTTTTTAAGATGAGCATCAAACCCATATTACTCCAGCAAACCTGGGCACATTATGATCCATGTGTGTGTGTTTGTGTGTGTGTGTCCTCAGACTCAGAGCCACCCAGCTCTCCACAGGTGGTGGAGGACGGAGGAGAGGAGGATGAGGAGGAGCTGAGTGGGGGGGAGGAGGCAGACCTGAGGTCCAGCTCGGGCCGGGGCTCCCTGCTGACCCGGA